GAGCCACATTTATCACGAGGGTCCACATCTTTACATATTTTTATCTGTTGGCCCAGTTAGTCTTTAAGGAACTTCAGGAGAGTTGAAAATGTTTATTCTCTCTTCCTTATCAATCCCCTGCACACCTGCAAACCCCCCCTCCTCCTTCTCCCACCCCACAATTTCCACTGCCCTCCTCCCCTGCACATCTCACTCCTCCCCACTGAATCCTTCTCACTGCAGGGAGCTGCTGAGGAGCCACATGGTCCATCCCTGCATTCTCCAAGCACTCACTGCCCATCCACTCTGACCACAGCCAGGGGCCACATCCCACTGCCTGCCCAGCGTTCATCCATGGAGGTGAGCACTGTGTCCCCATCTCCTGCCTCACCTACTGAAGGAGATGATCTGTGTGAGACAGATGTCACCGATGTGGCCATACACAGTGTGACCTTGCTTATCTGCCTCTGTGGGCTGGCTGGGAACGGGGCTGTGCTCTTGCTCCTCAGCCTGAAAAAGGGTAATCGTTACTTCTTTTACATGGCTTTCATTGACTTTCTCTTCCTCCTCTTTGCAGTCCCCTCTACCTTCCTCTTCCTGGTGGAGGACGTGTCCTGCTCCCCTATCGTGCCCTTTATGTACGTGAGTTTCCTTTTCCAGCGCTCAGTGGTCCCCTACTACAGGGCACTGGTGTCTCGAAGGACTGCGCAGTCTATGCAAAAGCTCTGCAAGCTCTGCTGCGGCTGCCACCTTCCTGAACACCTGATATGTGTGGTGGGAAGTGTCCAATACTGGGCCTTCTTTGCTCTCTTTGCTGTCATTCCCACACTGACATTCCTGTGCCCATCACACCAGCAGGAGCTCTGCCAGGCAGCTCTCATCTCCGTGTACACCATCGCCCTGCTCCTCTTTGTTGTACCCGTGGTCACTTCCCGCACAATCGTCCTCATGAAGGCCAAGTGGGGCTCCCAGCAGCAGCAACCCAAGAGGCGCGACATCGTTATCCTCATCACTGTGCTCCTCACTCTTTCTCAGCCTCTGGAATTTCCTGAAGCAGCTTGGTTACCTCACTGTGCCCTTCCAGGTTGTTTTCCTGCTCAACTGCATCCACAGCAGCATCAAACCCTTCATCTACTTCTTGGCAGGGCAGTGCTGGTGTCCCTGCTCCATGGGGTCCCTCCGGCTTTCCCTTCAGAGGGTCTTTGAGCAGCAGAAAAAAGAAAAAAACCACAGAAGAAACTCTGGCACAGAAACAGCACTCTGAGCCTGTTGATCCCTTCCACTGCTCTGCTGAAGGACCTTGGCACAAAGCCTGAGGGTTTTCTTGAGTCACCTGATGAATCAATATCCACAGGATCACCCTCCCTGTGGTGCTGTATTCATGCAGGAGAAGGGACCAGTGGCATTGTCTTGGGTGATTTTTGTGGGATGCTCTGCAGGGAGCACACTGGAGCATGGCTTTCCTCCTCCCTCCTGGATCCACATGGCTCCAAGCAGTGCAGCTGGGCTCAGTGCTGTTCCCCAGCTCTATTCCCCATCGAATGACCCTCATGGCCTCAGTCCCAGGGAATGAACTCCATCTCCTTTGGCTCAGCAGATGAGGTTCATGGTGTTTTCAGGGAGCTCTTGCCTGCAAAGAATGGGACACCTTAATCCCTGGGGACACACCCAGCACGGGATGGCAGTGATTACCCAAATCCCTGCAGGGCTGGTGCCTCTGGATGGCAGGAGAGGGGTTGGGATCACAGGGAGCATCCTTCCCCTTCTGTCCGGCAGAGCCAGCCCTGCATTCCCAGATGATGGGAAGGGACACCAGGTAGGGCTGCAGAGCTGGGGAGGGACAGCAACATTCCCTTATCCTTTCAGTGGGAATGTCTCACATTGTTCAATTTCAGAATTGAATCCTTCGGAGGAAAGTGCAGGGTCCGTGGTGAACTCCACTGATCTTCTGTGCCTGTACCAGAAAGTACATGGAATATGGAAATTCCCAACACCAGATGCTTCGACCATAGAATTGCACAGAGATTATGGGGTTGTGCTGCTCTTCTGCAGAATGGGGCCATCCATCCTCTGGTTCCCCAGCATCAGTGTCCAGGGAAGCCCTTGAGCACCTCCATCCTGAACCTGGCCACCCTCAGGAGGAGCTGCACAGCCACTCTGCACAGCAGCTCCAGCCACAGCTCA